AGCAAATTTTTATATTATATTTTGTACACAAGAATTAATTGTTAATACATGAATTTAAATATCTTTCTATTTGAGCTGCGTTCTTTCAAAAAATACATTTTCAAACAATGATTTGATATCATTAAAATTACATATTATTCAATAAAATAATATTACATATAAATTTAAAACTTTTCTTTCTTTTTCAACCACATATTCTCCATCAATCTACTATTCCAAAATACATTCTTCCAAAATAATGTGGCTCAAACACACGCTAAATTTTCTAGATATATAAATATAAATAAATTCATTCATAATAACTCTAGATTCATATATATTAAGATTTATCAAGTCGAGATTCATTGAGTTTAGATTCAAGTAAATATTAATTAATTGAGAATTAATAACACGAAATTTATACATGACTAAGGATTTTAAGATCCGTTTGATTGCAAAGATGGAATTTGGGTGGAAAAAAATGAATTTCAAGGAATTGAATCGTCTAGAAATTATTTTACTGTGAATTCTCAATTATTGTGTTTGATTAGTATAATTTTTCACATGGAAAATATTGAAATAAAAGTGTTTTCTGGTGTTCGTTTGACTTTTTTACATAAAAAATTTCAATTAAAAGAATAAAATTTACTGGTATTGTGGATAAAATTTATTTCCATTACACAAAAAAAAAAGTCAAAAAAATCATTTATCTTTTGATATTCATTTGACTTTGTTTTACATAAAAATTATTAATTAAAGAAAAATATTTTTTTTACAATTAGGGATATAATTTGTTTCCATTGCAAAAAAAAAAAAAACAAAAACAAAAACAAAAACAAAAACAAAAAACAAAAACAAAATAATAATAATAATAATAATAATAATAATAATAATAATAATAATTAAATTGATAGCCTACCAATTCCCATCATATATGTGGGAATTGGTTTTCCTTGAAAACTAAGAAAATCAAAATTTTTAAAGAAAATCAATTTCATGGAAAAGAAATTGCTATCAAACAGTCAAAATGTGGAAATTGAAATTTGAATTCCATTTTCATGGAAAATAATGGTCAATCAAACATGGCCTTATAGTATTTATTACATATCGAAAAAATGAAAAGTAAAGTATTATTGAAATGATTAAATTGTAGTAAGATTAGAATTATCCAAAAATGGTTCTCACTTGACGTGATATTTAATATATTAAAGATTTAACGATTAATTGTTACTTTCTTAGGTAGGCAAATTCGATTTTTATAGAAAAAGTTACACAATAATTTTCCAATTTATATAATAATTTGATTTTCGATCCCTTTTTCTTAGCAATATAATCTCCAATTTCTAATCTGTAGTATTATTAGCCCTCCTCATAAATTACTTAAACATTTGAAAATGCTTAAATTGAATATATAATTAATTAATAAATGACTTTTGACCAATCAGATGTACAATGTTAAACAATATCAAAATTGGACTATTTTTCAAAATTTTAAAGATAACAAGTCACTCAGATTAATGTTGGGGAATAAGCTTACTCGTTCGCCCATGACAAAATAAAGTAATCAACAGCCTAACAAAACTTTAAAAATTAAAATATCCATTAAATTGTGAATAGATTTCGAAAATTTTGACATCATATCTAGGTTTGTTAAAATAACAATGCTAGGAGTACATCATTTGGTGTACATCCTGACCGACGGCCATCTAATATGGGGTGGGGTTAAAGGGCTGAATATCGTTGATTTCACCCTTTGTTAGAGGGCTATCAAACTAAGTGAAGTATTGCTGTGTGTACAGAAATTGTACACACAGAAACACTACAGAACAAACACAACACTGAAGATGGATAATTTTTTGACATTTTTTATCACAACATGGGAGCTCGAACAATGTGAACTTTTTGGTGCATTTATGTGAAATAGTTTCCTGTGTAAATGGAATTGTTGAAATAAGTGTACACCAAAAGGTGCATTTTTTAATCTTCAAAATCTATAATCCACTAATAGTGTGGACTAGCCCGGTCTGAGATGGGCCAAACTTGTCATTTTTTAATCTATAAATAAGCACTTTACACTTATAATACTAGTACCGGTGCAATATTTTTTAATAAATCAATCCGATCGGGGCTCGTCCTCATGATGCTCTAGTTTGGAAAATTCAACCGACACGACCTGCCTTTATTGGCAAATTAACTCACGAGCTCACGTGAGATGAACTCAATTGATTTGTGTGATTTGTTATCGATTTGGCTTGTTTCGAATTTAGGCCTAGATAACTTGCCTATTTTGACCCCACTAGTAATAACAAACAAACTGCTAGCTATGTCATGACAATTTTTTGGTATGGTGGTAACTGGCGGATCTAGCACTTGACGAGCCCCCGTGGCCGAGCGTGCTGAATCCGCAGAAAGGAACTCTTTTTTTCTTTCTTTTTTTGTGTTGATGATGGCTAAAATTTTATATTATATCCGATAAGTCATTTTATGCACAAACGCTTCCTATCATGGTTTGTTGAAGCTTCCACGACCACATGGGATGTTCCAGGTTCGATTCTAATTCAAAGCAATTTATTGTTCAATTTTTCTAAATCAATGATTTTTGCTAAGACTAACGCAAGAGAGGGAATTTAAACCCTTGACCTCTTATTAGGATTGTTGGAGACTTGACCATCGTCGCATTCCTCGATAGGTGACCACCAAGTATGACAATATATATCTTCAAGTTTAGTGGTTTTAATGCAAACAAAAGGATTCAAATTTCGAACCTTCGACCTTACTTTGAATTATGAATAATATACAGCGCTTGACCAAATTGAATTCAGTTAACAAGTGCCTCAAAAACAATATATATTCACATTTAGCATAAATAATTCTTATATTTAATTTTAAGTATTTTATTGTGATAGCAACCTCGCCCCCTAATGGTGGTAGGATTTTTGAAAGGCCAAACGGGATAGGATGAAAAATCTCTACTTCTTGTTTTGTTTAAATATTTATTTTTATTTATTTTTTAGTTACTATTTAAATTTAAAAGATGCATTTTCAAGAATGTCCAATTATAAGGGTTGGAGTTGAAAATTGTACTTTTTTTATAATCTTTGCAAAAAAGTCCAATTTTTAGATCAAAATATCTACTTTACCCTCATGAAAAGATTAATCAATTTTATATCACTTTATCACAATTTTTAAGAAGAGCAAATAACTTTCACGAGAAGCCACAATAATGTTGTTATTACCTAGGTGAGTCCACTTGCTTACATTTTTAATTATATTTTAATCAATTATTCTAGAACAAATAAAGAAGAAGCAAAAATTCCATTAACATATACGAAGAAGTATATGATTCCAACTTCAAAGAAATAATTTTAAGAAATTTACTGTGATAGAAATTTGAAGCTGGTTAGGCTTTCATTATTTGTCGGTAGAAGGTATATTTCTTTTAACTCTATTTCTTCGAACTCTCATTTTTTTGATAAGTTTTATTTAGTAGTTGTTGTTATATATGTTCAAATCTCAATTTTTTGATAAGGAATTTTTTCCCTTCAATGGACGAAATTATCCTAAATATATATTTTTTGTACCATTCATTTTAAATAACTTAATTAGATAATATACTTCTGTATTTAGAATATCATTTATGGTGGAATAAATTCTTGCAAAAATGGTGGTTGAAGTTGATGAAGATGATAAATGCATGAAATCTCGTCATTTTATTCTCGACATTTTATAAATGTCGATAATGATAGTATAAATATCGTTCACGACATTTATAAATGTCCAGAATGATATTTATACTTTCATTCTCGACACTGTCAAATGTTGACAATGACATTAAAAATTTGAGTAAGTTGGGAAAATTTCGTGTATAGCGATTCACATATTGCATACAGGTAGCATTTTCGTTTTCGATTTTCGTTAGTGGTTGACAGTATTGTTGTTTATGACATGCAGATATGGGAAATGTTAAGAGATTTGTTGTCTCGTCTGGTGGTAGATTCGTCAACATAGACGACGGGTGGAAGTGGTTAGGGAACCGAACAACATCAATTGTTGTTCGAGATGATATTACATATAAAGAGCTTGTACATAAATTATTCGAGAAGCTGAATGTTGATAGAATGAAGTTTCGAATTCAATTGAAATTTACAGTTCCGAACATGAATATACCCCCTGCTGATGTAGCCAACGATGAGGATTTGCAATGGTTTATGTCTGTTCACACAGAAGCGGCGTTGTGTGTAATTGCATATGAATATAATGCTGGAGAGCACGAACTGCATGTCGGAGTTGAGCCTTTGTCACCAATAGAAGATGCATTGTGTGGACGCGATGAAGTCGGTATGTGCGAACTACAAGAGCCACAAACGATTGATAATATGGATGAAAGTTTAGGTGAAGGTAATTTGTTTATTCGAAATGCAATTGAGTCGATTGATGAAGAGGACATTGTGGAGAATCAGATATTCTTTAGCAAACGACAGTTACACACAAGGCTTCAACTTAAGGCTTTGAAAGAGAAGTTTCATTTCAAGGTTAAAAAGTCGAATCCTAGATCTCTTACTGTGTGTTGTGTCAATACTACACGTCATTGGCTAGTACGAGCTTCTAAGATAAAAACTTCAGAAATATTTACGATTCGAGAGTACATACCTGAGCACACATGTTCTCTAGACGTTCGACGAAATGCACAAATTCACGTAACGAGTGCAGTAATTGGGCATCACATAATGCGAAGGTTGGACGATGCAAACCAATCATACGTTCCTGCGGGTATTATTGGGGATATGGAACGTGAGTTTGGTGTACGGATTACCTACAACAAAGCGTGGAGGGCTAAAGAGAAGGGACTTCGATTTCTTCGTGGTACACCCAAAGAAAGCTTCCAGAAATTGTCATCATATTGTCACATGTTAACCGAGAAAAATTTAGGAACTATTGCACACATTGAACTCGACTCGAATAATAGGTTCTTGTACTTCTTCTTAGCGTTCGGGCCTAGTGTACGTGATTTTTGAGAATACATGAGGCTAGTAATTTGTGTTGATGGAAGTCATTTGAAGGGCCAATATAAGGGAACACTACTAGTAGCTGCAGTGCAAGATGTTAACCTACAAATATATCCTCTTGCGTGGAGTGTTGTCGATGGGGAAACAAATGCATCGTGGTATTGGTTCTTTGCAAAGTTAAAAGATGTCGTTGATGATTCAAACCAGCTAGTGTTTGTGTCGGACAGGAAGAAGAGTATTAAGCGGGCAATTACGAGGTTGTTCCTACTTTCTCACCACGGTGCCTGCATTTGGCATATCGAGAAAAATCTTATTGCTAGGTATAGCAGTAACAATGTCATCTTCTTATTCAAGGGGGATGCGATGCATACCGTGTATCGGAATTTGATCAGTTCATGACACAGATAAGAACCATTCGACCGTCAATGGCATCGTACTTGGAACGTGCCGGTATATCCACCTGGTCACAGGCACATTTTGTTGGTAATCGGTACAACGTTATGACGAATAACATTGCGGAGTCACTGAATTCAGTCCTAAGGCTACAAAGAAGTTTCCCTATAATCTCGTTGATCGAAAATATTACGTCATTGATGCAACGATGGTTCTACGAGAGAGAAAGTGCATCCACGAAATGTAGTACGACTGTGACACCAAAAATTGATGATGAATTGAGAAAATCATTCGATGCCGGTGTAACTTTAGCAGTACGAAATTTGGACGAACTCGTTTTTGAGGTAGGAATAGCTACCGAACTTTGTACTGTCGACCTTAAAGGTAACACATGTTCATATTGAGAGTTTCAGATGCGACAAATCTCATGTTCACATGCATCCTGAGCTGCTTGCGTAAAAGAAAAATCATTGTATGATTTGTGCTCCCCTTACTACACCACAGAATATTGGCGACTGCGTACAACGAAGTTCTTCACCCCGTTGGCCGAGAGTTAGATTGGTTTGTTCCTCAGTCTATTCGTTCAATCGAAGTTTTGCCCCCGAATATACGTAGAGCACTAGGTCGACCTCCTACCCAACGTCAACGGTCAAGAACTGAAAGGTCGACGTTGAGACGAAAATGTAGCCGATGTGGGGGTTCTGGACATAACAGGCAAACATGTCAGAATTTGACATCTTTAAGTGACACGTATACTTGAATGACATTGTGTGTTCCGATCGTCAAATGCCCTGATAACATGAATTATAAATGTTTTGAATTTTTTTCTTTTGTATCATTTGCTTTCTACCTCTTGTTTTAAATATTGTTGAATATATTTTTGACTTCTACTTCTTTCTGTTTCTTTCTTCGTTCTCTCTTGATATCATTTATTTGCAATTGCTTGTTGTAAAATTAAGTTTTTAATACATTTTGAATCCTTTATACGGATTCATCCAATTTTTTGTGATTTTTCTCTTATATTATTCTTATCGTTCAAAATGTTATAGCGCACAAACAGGAAAATTCGTATGGGCATTCACTAAATACAAACAATACTTCATTTTTTAATGTCATAATGGATACAAATAAGAGAGGCCAGGTTTAGGGTATAACTACCAACAAGGGAAATGATGCTTACATATATTTTTATGAGCATTTCACTACGATATCATTTTGTTCATCATATAAGTGAACAAGCACATATCTATTTTATCACTGAGATTTTCTTAATCATTGTAGACATAATGTGGTAATGGATACAAAAGCAACCTATGAATGACTCGTTCTCCTAAGTCATTGGAGCAAATAAAATGGTAATCACAACAAAAGAAAGCCATAACTCCAATACATATCGTAGACAATTATTATACAAAACGGTGATCACCCCAAAAAATATCCATCACCTATATGGATTTTATAGCAGTACTATATGTATGTAAACATTTCACTTACGATGACTGCATCTTCTACATGTCCTCCACGACGGACAAAGAGGACATATCACTGTCATACTCCTCGTCAGAGCTTATGATGACCACATCTTCATTTTCGACGGGAACTGCTCCAACATTTTCATCCAACATCACATGATGTGCTTTCGATTGGACCAGTACTGGGACGATCTCACGATGAACTTGAATTGGTTCAATTTCGTCGATTAGATTCGGAAAAGGGATTGGTTGAAGGCAAATCCTACGATGGCGGTTTGAAGGTTGACAAACATATGGAACAAAGATATTGCTTTCATCATCCGAGTTCGAGTCTATGATGATCGAGTAGTCCGCGGACGACCCGGGGGGGTCGAAAGTGATAATAACATCAAGAACAGGAGTATGATGAGTTGATGAAGACATAATCAATTGAAAAACTAACTAATGCTATGAATTTGTTAAATTCTCGTATGTACATATTTAAATAAAGTCCAACATTTTATACTGGAGAAACACTTGTCCGTTGAATGCACGATAAGATATCTCACCGACCAATATGGTTGAAGTCATTGATGGTGATTATTTTACAACTTTTTTCACATCAATATGGTTGAGAACGTACTTGTGCTTGGCATACCAACTTTAACTGCTATAGTAATTATAAACCTGCTTGCTATAGTTTTTGCAGTTAATACACCATTTGGTTGCCTTCACTCTTAGTTAAATTTGGTTGGATCATATTTATGTTGACATTTGATGTCGTTCTCGACATTTGTAATGTCGTTATCGACATTAAATAGCTGTTAATCTCGACACTTGACATTACGAATGTCTAGAACAACACTTGGGCCAAAATACGACATTTCTCTACATTTATTCGATTTTCGGACGTTTGATATGTCGTTCTCGACATTACATAGCTGTGAATCTTGACGCTTGATATTTCATTTGTCTAGAATGACAGTTCGAGAACATATTACATACCATCATATAAATCGAAATATGCAAACCACTGTGTAAACCAAAATACATTTTACGTACCACCACATAAAACCAAAATTAATGTTATGTACCACCACATAAAGCAAAATACATATTGCAAATGACGGTATCATGAACCAGCTGATCATCAACAATCACACAAGCAAAGTACAGCTAAGCCACGACAACTGTTTCACTATCAGGGATAAAGAAAGTATTCGTTATTCAAAAAATCGACCGCAATCTTTCTTCTGTATATTGACATCCTCTCTGCTGAAACTGATTCTATTGGATGCCCGAGAACGAAGCATTTTATATACTTGAGTACAAACATTATGCAATTTGGCCTATACAATAAATGATTTTTCGTTAGTCGAAATTAGTATATACAATAGATTAACTACGGTAGTAAATAACAAGAGTTGAAATACTCACCCATTGTTCGCACACGGTAGATAAGGTATAATCTCCATCTTCATTAAATCATTTATATGTTTCTTTATATCTCGTCTGGTGGACAGGGGTAGACACTGCAATAATGTTTGAACGATTGTGCATGTAGCTTCTGCGTGAGCCTTGATTGCATCAGGTGTGTGAACATTATTGCTACAGTCGTATATGTAGAATTTCCATTCAGGAATATTGACCAGAAACAGATAACATTCATTGCCTGGATATGAATTTGGAATTAATAAATACTTGCATCCCATCCACGAACGACCAGCTACAGGCAATGTACCGTTGACGTAGCTTTGTAGGTAAGTTCCATCCGATTCACCTCTCTAGTTATATTTCATGTGCCACCTCATTTGCTGACAACACTCCTCTTAAAATTGAAAATCCAAAATTGCATATTTTTTATTAACGAGAGTACAATCTTCATTCATACGCTGCCTCAATAACTTCAGCTCCAGCTCAATATGCTAATGCAATAAATATATGTAACATATATTATACATATTAACTATGAAATCAAATTTATTGTGATTGCAAACCTTCACTCACCGTAATATTCAGATCCTTCGTCGGATCCATTAAACTTTTGATCATGTCTCTTCCACAGACATTGTCACGGCCATCGTCCAAATATGCACTGTATAACATAATTTAAATTACTGTCAAATAATTCAACCAATAATTTTTGACATAGATATAATAATGTTTAGCATTCGGACTATTTAGAATGAGTTACATTTGTTACCCAGATTGATTTCTCGATATCCAATTCCTAATGTTTTTGTACTTGTTCATGTCGTAATCTTCTAAGGGATGGCCTGTGGATGACGAAGCATGTGTGTATTTCATCTTCTTTTCTCTTTCTCTTCTCCGCATGTCAACACTTTCTGTTGGTTGAGACGTTGATATCTCATGCGGTTGAACAGTAGGATTTGGACTTGCATGGAGAGGATCATCCTGCTGCATGGAACCTATAATGGCTTCCATGTTGGATTCCGAGTTAGATAATCTGTTTAGCATATTCTCATTCTTTTCGTCAATGTAAGATCTGACAGAACATAAACTTGTATCAATATAAGACTGTATGTGCTCCTGTTACTGCTGGAATAATTCTTCTTATTTTCGAAGAATCGCCTGATAATGGGCTTCTTGTTGTTGCGATTCCTAGGCCATATGAGTGCTAAACATATTTGATAGAGAATTATCCATGTATGACTGCATACCACATAGCATGTAATCTTGCATCGATTTATTTTGTTGTTTGAACAGTTACTTTTAGCTTTCAAGGATATCCTGGTTCATGGCTCTGGATTCTTCAACAAATTCTGCCTTCAAGTTGCCACACAGACTGGACACATCTGATATCGTATGTTGCCTGTGCATATCCAACATTTCTTCCATTCGGTCTTCAGTTACATATCTGGAGGCACCAGAAGCAGAACTAGGCCCAACTCCAGTTGAAGTTCTTGATGTACCACGACTGGTCGTTTCTTGCACACGGATGTTATCCGGTATTTGTGATACTACATTATCTACGTCTCCAGTGACAATGACATCTAATATATTATATTCATCATCAGTCGACAGTGAAAGATTTATGTACCAGGGTGTTTGTAATTCTTCCTCTGTAGGCTGCAGCACTGCAATGATTTCGATCTGTAATCACAACAAACTATCAAAATCCATTTGTTTAATTGAACTTGTTAATAACAAAATGCGAATGTCATTCTACATTGAAAATAAAAAATTCATACATCTTGAGTATCCAAAAATTGCTTAACAATCGAGTCCTTCAGTATAGTATTAGGCCTCCAATTATAGATTCATGGAATCTGCACCGTTCTGTGTTTACGGTGACCAAACTTTTGTCTAATTCGTGGAAACGCTTCTTATATTCAATACTGCAACGTAAAGAAAGAGAAATGTGATGTATAAATTTTATTCTTTGCACAAAAAAATTATACATAATACGTAAGTAATTAGAATAGGAATATAATACCTGAAATGCGAGTGGATAGCCTTGTAATACATACTTACATTCTGTTTGTCCATTCTGTTGCATCCTTAGTATTCTTTCCAATTGTGACTCTTTCAATGAATTTAACAAAACGAAATATGCTATCCGACCCCATGGATACGTAAAGAACTCATTGAGATGTTCAACCATCACAGAGTTCTATAATCAACTTGTTGTGAAGTCGTTTTCAACACACACTTAACCAACATAACTAATCCCAGTTTAAATTTATCTTCTGTATCTTCACACATGTGGAAAGTTTCAAAAAGCATTCTATTGCTAATTTTTTTGTGCCATTGAAGTATTGATTTCTAAGACGATCGTTATTATAATCAATTTCTATGGATAGTTCATGGCAAGGTAGTCTAGTAATAAGGCAAAATTCTTGTAAGCCAAACCTAGCAAGATGGTCATCTAACCGTACCCAAATTTCATTGTTTTTGCCACAATGCACAAGTCTCATTATAAATTCGTGTAC